CGGATGCCGATAAGGCCTTCCATTCACAAACCGAAACCAAAACATGAACAGATCCTCCTACGTTGAACAGATATAGACATAATCCATGCAACACCCACATGCAATTTAATCCAAAATTTCACCCTAATTACCAATTAAGCATAATTAACCGCAGATTAACGTTAATTAGGGATCGGGGTTGTTACATCGCCTAATCCATAATTGCTTGCATTGTCTCATGTGCTGATGTCGAGGGTGAGGTCTGGGCAGCTGAGTCGAAGTTCAAGGCTCTTCGTACGTTAATGTTTTTTGGTCCAAGCAGGTTGCTTGGAGTGGTATCAACTCGTGGTGTAAGGTTGTCAGTGACCACTGGAGGATCTTCCGTCACGCCCGCCATGGAAGTGCTGGAGTATTTCCACAAACGGCGCCAATTGTGAAGAAGTGATTCAGAAATATTCTTTGGATCCTGGAGGGCACTCGTGATCCTTAGCTAATCACCTGAAAAAGAATGAACACTCCGGTCGAGAGTGTCGGAATTAGCACTCTGATGGATAAGTCAGTATCCACTCTCTTGGTTGCTTATGTCTCAAGTTATACTTATTTTTTCTCACATGCCTCTCTTTGGTCGATGTTCCTTTATTTATATTTTCCTTTAGGCCTCAGGGTTGGGCCCTCCGTGCAATTATTTACTCGGCTCCTTCTGTTTTGCAGTCCAATCTCCACTCAGCTCCTCGCTCAACTGGTTCTATGGCCGATTAGGATACCTCTGAATTCATATAAGACGGGGCCAAATACAATGTACATATCTTGATTCTCTAAGAATAGTATTCGGCCTTTTTACATCCCCTAATACTCGGCTCCCACACAGTTATTCATCAATCATTTGCATTCTCTTGATATATATAAGAATGCAACCATGCAAACCAACATATTTAACCGGCATCCAAACAAAAAATGGAATGATTTTTTGAGCTAAAATTTGGGCATTCAACTTCTGGAGCTTGGCCAATTAGAACATCTAAATTTAGCACAATAGCAGCTCAAGTTAAAAATCTATCTATTCCATCAATAGAATGTAATCAATTATGCATATTTAAATCAATTAATAAATTTGTTACAGTATCATTATTTTTCACACAATTGTTAAAAAGGTTCATGCGCAATCAGTCACATATGAGATTTTGATCAATTCAACACAATTGCAAAAGATACACACATATATATAAATATCAGAGAAAAAAGTGGACATGAGCATCGACGAATCTGAAACCGTGAAGGCTCTTGATGATGTTGGTGAGTTCTTGATGATCAATTCCACGTTCGGAAGCAAACTCATCTGAGTCTGAAATCTCATCATTCTTCTCGAGGAAGCCCAGTACGACTTCCTCCGCCATCTCTGTCTGTCTCTCTCTCTCTCTCTCCAAACCCTTTTATCTTCTTTCCACTAGGGTTTTGTAGTCTTAGATCAAAACTCAAACACGCAGTTAATGAGTCTATTTGGTTTGGGTCAAAACCTATAAACAGGGTTTGATGAGAACACTAACCGTAAGGATCAACACAACAAAACACAAGATAATTATAAAACAATTTAGGTCTTTTTGACAATATTCAATTTTAATTTAAAAATTAAAAATGTCAAAATGTCAATAATTTATATAAAAAGGTTAAAGATTTTTTTTTTCTATTTTTTGTACATTTTAAAATTCAAAAAATCATATCAAATATATTAATTTTTTTACCTCATATTTTAGTTAAAAAATAACTAAAATAGTCTGTCCTCAAACGAGGCATTATAAATATATCTTTTGATATTTGCATAAAATAATATGTCTCTTGTAATTCTAAAATAGATATATCTTTGTGGATCCTGCTGTCTTTTTAGTAGCCCAGCGCCTGAATGTCAAACTCAATCCTCCTCCAGTAACATCTAAATTAAATGTAATAGAAAGGTCAATAAAGTAACAAACCAACAATTTACAGAAATACCAAATTCTACAAAGTAATAGGAAAACTTTACCACTAGTAGTGCTGTAGATAGGAACATTTGTAACTAGCTCATTGAGATTCAATCTTCTACAAAGTGATGACACAAAATTCATCTTGTTATATTCTCAAATAAGAAGATTGAACCTGAAAGAAACACCAAATCAACATAAAGGTTAAAACTTTGATAAAAATATCAAAAAATTCCAGCATCCCGGAGAACTAAGGCAACCAAAGGCACTTAATCCTATTGTTCAGCCATGGCATTGGAGCTGAAGCTGTTTAAGCATAAAATTCATGAAAAATAAATAAAAAATTTCATAACCTAAATTATTCAGCAATGAAACTCTTCCAAGAAGACTTCTAATATTGTGCATTTTATTTGTTCCATTTTTAAAGCCACGCAGCAGGTATCATATCAATCAAGTGGTGAATTGGAAATGGACCCTATTTTTCAATCAAGCTGTTCTTTAATCCACTCTTGCTTCTGTCAACTAAGCAACTACGAGCAAGAAAATCCTAAGAAGAAGTGACAGAGCATCCATGTTAGATTGATATAAGCAAAAATAACTAGCCAAAGTGAACCCGACCTCAGTACAACCTGTCACTGGACAATATGTCGTGAAATGTGATGTAGTGATCCCGGTTTCGACCCTTCTTTCATGTTTTGCCACTTCGACTAGGCAGGTCGGGGGTCGAGTTGCCCGGTCAGCTCGCGGGGGTCCAGGGGGCAGCGCCTTAGCAGGGATCAAGCTGCCCGGTTAGCTCGCGGGGGTCCAGGGGGCAGCGCCCCTTGGCGGGTCCTAGGGCAGTGCCCTAGCGGGGTTGACGGGTAGCGCCCTCGCAGCAAAAATGCAAAATGCATTTGAAGTTGCTTGTCTGCACGAGCGGGAGTGTAAGCCGCACGTGCGGATTTCAGGGGAGAGCAGCTTGCACACTGCTACAAAGGCAAGTGTGGGAGTGAGGTACGGGAGTAGGCGAGATCTGAATTTTCTTTCTTTTTTCTCTCTCTTTGGGCTGAAGTTGTATCACTTTTGTATACCTCTCTCTTTCTCTCTAAAAACATTTGCTCTTCCTTCTCTCTACATTTGCTACCAAAAATCTCACAAGATCTTTGATTTCTTCAAATCCTTTGGGATTTGGACCTAAGTTCTTCATCAAAGTTGGTTAGCTTCTCAAGGGCTTCATTATGTGCGGTGAAGATCGAGTTTCGACACCGTTGATTTTGAGAGTTTCATCTCATTTTTTCTTCAAAACTTGAGGTAGGGGTTTTCTTTGAGTTATATATATATTTTTGCAAGATCTAGATGATTTTCGAAATCATCCTTTGATGGCTTCTAAAAAATTGATTGTTGATTCGAGAAGTAGAGCGATTTTAAAAGTGGGTTTGTCTCTTATTCTTTTAAAATAATCTTATGGGTTTTGATCTTTATTGATTGAAGAAAATATGATTTTCGAAAGTTTTCTTTCAAAAGATTTGGGCTATGTAGTTTTGGTGAGAAAACCTAGAAATTGAAAATTTTAAAAGAGATTGAAAATCCATAGATAATATTGTTATATTTATTTTGTGTGCCAAAATAAATGATGTTTGAAAATTTTCTTCTTTATATTTGTAAAAATGATTAATTTTGTGGATTATGAGAATTGTTGTTCTTTTGAGAAATGGTTATTCAAAACGTTGATATAGTCTTGAAATTACTAAATTGTTGAGAATACTTGAAAAGAGAAAATTGTGTTATTCCTTGGATGATTAATTGAAATAAAAGTATTTATGTTCATCTTGTGAAATTGACATATCATTTCATTTTATTACATTAAATTTTGAAGGTTGATTTGAAAACTTATATTGAGAAAAGCATGTTGAGAAATAAGTTTTCATGAAATGGTTTTGGAGTAAATATGTTGATAAGTCTTCATAGGTGGTGTAAATGATATTGAATAAGTTGGCCTGAGGGTCCGGGATGAAACACCGAAAACCCGCGCGGATAGGTGTCGAGCCTTCCAGTTAATACTGATAAAAATGACAATTTTATAGTACTCGTATAGTCTACTTGTAGACACCAGCCTAGAGATTACCAAAGTCGTATTTACTGCCCTCGAAATAAATTGTTAAGTTTTGAACAATTGAAATTGCATGACATCATTGAGCATGATGGTTTCAAAAGATGAAAATATGATTTATCTTAAAAAAGAGCATAGCATGGCATGTACATTTCATCTCTTGAGACTTGTATAAAATGTATATACTTTGTTAAGAATTTTCTACTGGGCTTTATGCTCACCTTATGGGATTTTTGTGTAGGAAAAGATGTGGTGATTCCACCCAACTAGGGGCGTGGAAGTGTGTTGGGAGTATAATGCTCTCATTTTGCGTGACTCTGTTTTGTAAGCCAAGAGCTGTATTTGTGTGGGTTTAAATAACCATTTTGTGTAACCGGGCTTAAGCCTTGAAAACTTGTAAACCCTTAAGGGTATTTATTTGTTTATTTACTTCTTGTTGGATTAATGTATTGTTGCATGAAGAACTATTGTATCATGTAATGTAAGTTTAGAGATTTATATTCTGTTTTCCTTGAAAGAGTCATGATTGTTATATTATCATTTGGGCTAGAAATTTGGACGTTACATGTGAAATTGGTGAATGTAAAAAATCAAGAACTGGAACCCCTTACATAATAAAGAACAGATATTGAAGTACCATTTGTGTAAATAGCAATGCTACATACACATAATTTCTCCGCTCCCCACCCCCTCCAAAAAAAAAAAAATCCCCCGAACGAGGTAATAAGACATAATAGATGTAAGGAGAGTTTTGAGAGAATATTGGGGCATGGGTCCACTTTTCAAATTCTTCTTGTGTAAAATAGGTGGGGCATGTATAGCCTAGTATACTCAAAAGTTCCTCAATCTGATACCCATATCGATCTACCACCCGTGTGTAACCTTTGGATCATTTATTTGATACAATTATAAAGTGCCCAATGCGCAATGTAAATAACAAAGCCTAACTAATCTTCATAGATAGATTTTAGTATAGCTTATCTAAGAAACACAATTATTGTATTGATTTTTCCATTTTCTTTAACAATAGCAATTGGTAGCTCGAAAATCATGAGGCTCGAATGGCCCGAGTTCTTTGTACACTCCTCGTTTCTTTGTACAACTCATCTCTGTTTTCACTCTTACATTTCATTTCAAATAAAAAAAATAAAAAACCAAGAGAACAAAGTAGAGAGAGTGAGAGAGAGGAGACCCATTAGCGATTGGTAGCCCTGTTCAGAGAGTAAAGAGAGGAGTCGACCTGTGTGCCGCCGACGAGGCTACTGTTGCTTCTATGTGTGCCAACGGGTCATCCCTCTCATTCCCCACATCTATGTTCCCTCATCCCTCTCATTCCCCACATCTCTCTCATCCCTCTTATCTCTGTGAAACCTTCCGATCGGTCGTTGATCGCGAGAAGGAGGACAAACGACGACGACGGAGAATGAACCACGACGAAGGAGGACGAACGACGGCCAGAGAGCGATTTACAGATTTCAACAACTCCACAGCCAAAATAATTTCATGAAATGGGATCCAAATTATTTACATTATTGGTCTTCCAGCAATGTATAACATGAGAAACAGAATACAACTCATGAATTTTTTTTTCCCTTGTTTGAATAGAACCAGTGTCCCTGGTAAAGAATAGTAGAAAAGAAGTAGACTACACATGAAACTACATCACTGGAAAATAGCATGCAAAGGAAAAGTTAAACCTATACATTTAATTAATTAAATTATACTGCAATCAAACAGAAAAGAAAATTTCATGTCCTCACACTGCAAATTAATATTGAGCGTGATATTAATATATTCATCTTATTAACTTCAGTCTTGCAATACATATCATATATAAGATTCCAAGTAAACACCTGGATTCACCTTGAATGGCAGAGGAGAGCCATTCAAGCTTTGGTTTTTATCCTCAACATGAAGTAAGAGGGTTCCAGCTGAGGCTGCCATGAACTCAAAACTGAGATAGCCAAAAATGTTTTTTGAATCGCTTATAGACGGTAGAAGAGAGGCAAGGAAAGGACAGCAGAGCAAAGAGATAGGAAGGAGAGAGAAAAAAGTGCTTTTCGGGGCATTTTCGAGCCAATCCTTTCGAGCTACGAAGCAATTTTGTTTCTTTAATTCCTTCAAAATATAAAATTAAAAACAATTCCAATTCATTTTCCAAAACCGACCATGCTACGTAACCAAGCTAAATACTATGATATTTTTTTCATGTCTCTTCCAGAATGCTAGACTCTGAAATAAGATCAGGGCTTGTGAAAAGTGGGTAGAAGCTAAGTCACATAATTATATGTGGGGCTTTATTGGCATTTGCTAAGATAAATATCAACAATGCACCCAATAAAACAACAGAACACAACAACAAAAAAAAAAGTCAATAGATCTTATGTTTGGATCTTCGAAATGAAAGAAATCGTGAAAAAAAAGAAGAGAAGTTTCTATTTCAATCACTTTTCCCGGAAGGAATTCGTGTTGAAGAAGAGAGAATCATGAATGAAACCACAAGAGAAGAGGATAAGAGGCGTACCGTCGAACAATCTCGCCGCCAATCGTGTTGCTGAGAGAGAGAGAGAGAGAGAGAGAGAGGATGAGCGGGAGTAGGGTTTCGTCAGGGAGAGGGTTGGGTGCTTCTCCTCTCTCTTTCTCCCTCTCTCCTCCTCTTCCCTCTCTTTCTCCCCTCTTCTTCCATTTTCGAGCCGTTTCGAGCTCGACCCTTTCAAGCTACGAGACATTTTCGTTCCAAAACCCCTCAATTTGCTGATACAAGCTAAATACTATGATATTTTTTTCATGACTCTTCCATAATGCTAGACTCTGAAATAAGATCAGGGCTTGTGAAAAGTGGGTAGAAGCTAAGTCACATAATTATATGTGGGGCTTTATTGGCATTTGCTAAGATAAATATCAACAATGTACCCAATAAAACAACAGAACACAAAAAAAAAAAAAAAAAAAAAAAAAAAAAAAAAAAAGTCAATAGATCTTATGTTTGGATCTTCGAAATGAAAGAAATCATGAAAAAAAAAGAAGTTTCTATTTCAATCACTTTTCTCAGAAGGAATTCGTGTTGAAGAAGAGAGAATCATGAATGAAACCACAAGAGAAAAGGAGAAGAGACGTACTGTCGAACATATCTCGCCGCCGATCATGTTGCTGAGAGAAAGAGAGAGAGAGAGAGAGAGAGAGAGAGAGAGGATGAACGAGAGTAGGGTTTCGTCAGGGAGAGGGTTGGGTGCTGTAAGGCAATTGACAGCATGGGTGCTGTGAGGCGATTGACAGCATTGGTGTTGTGCCCCTACATGATGTCAAATACGAATATTTTCCAACTCATTGTTTCTCCTTATTTAAACAAATATACTAACTTCCATTTTCTGTCAATTATCAATGCCAACTCCATTTCATGTTTTAATTTCTTCAAATAAATGTAATTAGATAGTTGGGTATAGATTAATTTTCACAAGTTCAACTTGAGGAGTTTGTGGGGTTTATTAATCATTCATTTTTTAGAATTATGAAAAAGATTAAATCGATTTAATAATTATAATGATTTTATTTATTGTGTTTCTCTAAAAAAATGAACAACAAGGATGTATTAAAAATAAATCATTTATTTTTTTGAACACAAATACCATAAAATAAAAATGTTACAATTATTGGATAAATGTAATTTTTTATAGATGAAATACATGAAATGCCTTAAAAATTAGCGGTTTAGATCATTAAAATGAGATTACTATTGAGGCCCACAAGCCTCTCAACTCAATCCTAATGGAAGTAAAACGTAATCAAAATTTATCCTAAAAGGAAAACGTAAGGTGTAGATTTAAAGTTAGAATGATGTGAGTTATATGTAAAATAAATTTTCTTTACATATTTAATTTTTAGATAATGTTTTTAGGTATGTGACACAACTATATTCGATTATGCATATGTACATATATATATATATATATATATGATAAGAGTAATGATATAGAAATATAAAAATTGTGCATAAAATCAATGGAGAATTATATGGTGCACACCCCTTAAAAATGTATATACCATATGCCCCAGTTATGACTTTTATAATTTTTGGTGATAACCTATTATGATGTTAGTTATGACATTATTTTAGTGGTGATCCAAAAGATCTTCACTTATGCCTCATGTCACGTTTGGTTATAAATATATATATATATATATATTTAAAGTTATGACTGAATAGGATTTTATTATAACATTTATGATGAGTAACATTACAAATGTCTTAGCTTACATATATAGCATTACCCAAAACGAATACACAATTTTGTAACACTTAAATTTTGTCATTTAAAACCAAAAAATTCATCTAGATGATTTATATTTTCAAAATTGTCACAATTACATCATTTTTGTCAAAAAATTTGTATATACATTTTGTATTAATATTTTTTTTTCATATAATAATCACAAAATTTATGGCATAAAATGGAATTGGCAATCATGATGGACAACAAACGGAGTTAGCATAAGCCAAATGCAATGTAGTTGGCCTAAGAACATAGACCTAATGACTGATGAGGAGTTTGAAAATATCCGTTAAACTATGTTGTGTAGGGGCACAACACCAATGCTGTCAACGACCTCACAGCACCCATCCCGCCTCCGGTTTTGTGGTCATGCAAAACAATAAAAAAATAAGGACCTAGCTCCTCTCCAGTAACTGGAGGGAGCTGTTCAATGTTGATGGGCTTCGATTTGGGCTCATATCGATAATTTAAATTGTTCAATGTGTAAAACTTGTCAAGTACATCATTTCTGTAAAAAATCACGTTGATCAGATATTGATAACAACTTGATCCGATCACATTTCTGTCACAATTTATTTTGAAAAATTTATTTAAAACTTACTTTGAAAATGTGATATGACCAAGGGATTATCGATATTTGATCAATGTGATTTTTTTACATAAATGATATATTTGACGGGTTCTATACATTAAACATTTCGAATTATCAACATGAGCCCAAATCAAGGCCCACAAGAGCTAAATAGCTCCCTCTAGTTACTAGAGAGGAGCTGCTTCCAAAAATAAATATATGTGTATATATATATATATATTATACAACGGGTGGATTGGGTCCACGTGAATCACTAGGGATGGCAATGAAGGGCAATAGGGTGGATATTAATTCTCCATCCCCATTCCCCTATAATAATTTTTCTCCATTCCCCATTCCCCATTCCCCTTCCCATCCCCTAAGGTTCATAACTAAAGCTAAATATACATTTTATTTTATTTGGCTCAACAACAAAATCAATATATTAATTAATTAAAAAGTTTGTTTTAAAATAATCAAAAATATAATTTTGAGACAATCAAATAAGTTTTTATTAATTGAAAAAAATATATATGAAAGAACGTGGAAGGTTAAAAAATACACTTTTCAATTAGCAGAATACAATTTTCCTTAGCCCAAAGACAAATACAAATTCAATATATGAATCTATGTTTTGATTCATTCAATTAGCAGAAAGATTTCATATTTATTAAAATCGAGTTTGTAATATATATATATATATATATAGAGAGAGAGAGAGAGAGAGAGATGCATTACCTTCGATTGAAGCAGATCGAATTGACAAGGGCTTTGTGCGGCTGAGATATGCAGGAGAAGATCGGAAAGAAATCGAAGTTGAAGCTTGAGGAAGAGACCTTGAATTCTTCAACAGACCCTAGTAGAGAGATGGGCAACGCAAGGTCGCAGTCACAGATAACGCCATGGGTGACACAAACACGACACCACACCAACGAGAGAGCTAGATCGCCGTCGCCAAATCGTTGCCTTCGCTAATCGCCGATGCTGGAGTCAGAAGATTAGAGTGATGCTGGAATGAAAAATGCTTAGGCTCACTGTGGAAATCAGAAGAGAACCCTAGTTCTAAACATAAGCTATGGGGGATAGGGGCGGGTACCCATCCTGATCCATACCATACCATATGATATGAATATTAAAAAAAAGTTAAATTACAAATACGCTCTTTCTGAAATTTGATTAAAATATAAATTATTTTTTATAATTTTAAAAATTACATTCTACTCCTTGAAGTTTATAATTTTATAATAAATCGTCATTTTTATTAATAATTTTTAAATCAATTACTAATTTTTAATGATATGAAAAATATATTTCAATTAATAATTTAAATAATTTTATTATTATATAAACGAACAATTATAAATTTTATTTTTTAACTAATTCTGTTAAATAAAAAATTATAACAAAAAGGTATTTGTAATTTTTCAAACCACAGAAGGCAATTTATACTTTAAGCAAACTTCAAGGATGTATTTATAATTTACCCTAAATTTTAATTTGTTAAATATTTTATTATATAAAAGTTAATTTTAAATCACATCATTAAAAATAATAAATTAGGAAGATAACATTGTTGATTTAGAATATAATGTTTTATATATTTTAAATATATTTTGCTATAAGTACGTGTTTTTACAGAAACTAAATTGAAAAATATTCGTAACAATTTGTAGTATTTGCTTCTGAATTTGACTCTATATAGATAGAATTATTTTTTGTTGAACTGAATAATCTAGGGCAAATTACATATACCTCCCTCGAGGTTTAACTAAATTACAGATACCTTTGAAGTTTCGAAAATTACAAACATCCCCCCCAAAAGTTTATATTTTCATAACAAATTGCTCCCTGAAATTTATATTTTCATAACAATGTACCCCCTAATTTGTTATGCAAATAGTACCTTCGGGGAGTATCTGTAATTTCTCAAACCTCAGGAAAATATCTGTAATTTTACTAAACCTCAAAGAGATATATGTAATTTATCCAATAATCTACATATAATACACATTTTTTAATTTAAAATCGTAAAACTAAATAAGCGCTAGACTATATCTTTGTAGTCTGATTTTAATTCAATTCCAAAGGCTTTACCGTTCAGTTTATCTCTAAAATCTTATGAAAACAAATTTATTGGTTCACTTCAAAATTGAATCACATTAGTCATAAACACCTAGTAAAATGACACCTTCTAATATTAAAACTGAACTCCCTGATAATTTGACCAGTTGACAAAGTGATTTCAAAATGAAATTTCAGTCCAAAATATTAACTCCTTTTGGATTATCAATTTCAATCAAGTTATGGCCTACCCATCTAAAAATGTACCTACAAATTCCACAAAATTTGCTAGTCTGCCTTGGGCTTTCTTATTTGGCTCCCCGATAAATAGAGACTATTATATTGTTATATGACTCACCACTTACCACACACTAGTGGACTCATATATATATGAACATTTGAGAAATAGCAAAGATTGAATGCATATGCAGACAACACATCGAAATTCGTTTACAAAACTGGTGAGACTAACGCGCTGTGCCAAGAATTGGAGACTCATCAAATATTACAATCTAAGCTGGAACATTGCCTGGCATTTGCTACAAAATAAAACAAAAACTAAAATTGGGGTTTTCTTGTCGTTAACCACTTTCAAAAAGGGATCAATTTGCATTTAATTCCCAAAGAGGGGGGGCAAGTATTAAAAAGGAAAACTTTGATATAAATATCAGGAAAAAACACCACCCCATTCTACTCTATTCCAATTCGACATAGGGGGTTTTTCTTGATGAGACTAAGATCCACCTGCAAAGACCAATAATAATGATCATTAAAATGCCACCCAATTTAAACAAAAGAGAGCTGCTTATTCGTACTAAGTGAATGTATATGTATATGTACCTTGTGACCAAAGAGATCCCGGATGCTATCAATCCCATACAATATCATGGTTGGTCTGATCCACAGAATAAAAGATATTATCAATATTTTCAGAGAATATACTCCAGCAGTGCAGATTTACTTTGCAATATTTGTCATTGCATTTATTCAAACAAATATTAAATTCGTCAACATGATTCAGAACAATTGGATTCATCATTTCTAAAAAGATTCATGAACAAGAACGAGAACAACCAACCCAATAAGTTATACTTTTCTCATTAAAATTTCATTAAATCCAATCAACATAGGAATCAGTCCTCTCCACATTAGTATAAATAGGACTCGATGGAAATTTCATGAAAAAACTGTCTGACTTATTTGATAATTTTCCCATAATAATTTCCTTACCTTTCTAGGGAAAGGCCCCATGCAATAACCCGAACATCTTCTGGGAGTCCCATCGGAAGCAGCATCTCAGGTCTAAACATGCCAGAATTTCCAATTTCCACCCATTTCTTTAGGCCTTCGTGATAACTGAGCAATTGGAGGAGAATTAATCTAGTTGCAGAGATACAATTAAATAAAAAAAATTGTATTATTGGCTACATCACATGCAACAGCCCCGTCAGATCAATAACAATTGATTACCCAAAAATTTCCATGCTGGGTTCAGTGTATGGATTGTAAGCAGGCTTGAATTTCAGCTTGGACATACCTGAACACAAGTGTAGTAAGAAGGGAAGTCTGATTCGTCAGTATGCTTGTTTCATATCTTCTCCAAAATCATGATGTCGATTATTATTTAATTTTCTATGCAAAATAAATGTATATTGGTATTAAATAGTTTATGCACTACAAAATTGGTAAGCTTCATTTACTGGGACTTCCAAATATAGGAAGTTTAGTGTAATCCATTCATCACTAAAAGAGAACATGATCAAAAGTTCAAGCGAGAGTAAATATTACCAAGACGAGAAAAAAAGTCATTGAAAACTCCAATTAAGTCGCCAAGAGTAAGTCCTCGATCACATACGAGCCCTGAAATCAAAACAGAAATCCAGACAGGTAAAAGGTTTAGCAGAAACCATATAAAATCAACTACGGCGCCTTTGCCATTCAATGGAAGTTCAGTAATTCATCCATATCATGTAGCATTAAAAATAATTGGGAAAAAAATCATATAGCATTTTGAAATAGAAATCCACTACTTGTTGGGTGCCACTTAAGGAAAGTGAAGTAACCAGTGATGCTTATTCAGTTTTAGGTCATGAAATGTCACTACTGCCAAACTTCTCCATTTGTTTCATAGCATCATATTTTTACAAATGGCCCACAAAGACTATGGATTCATAGAAGTGAAATGGGACATGACAGTGCAATTCAGAAGGGTGATCTAGCCTTGTCCTTTTTGCTTGCCATCAGTTCAATTGGTGCAACTGGGTCTCTCCACATTAAGAACTAGCAAAATATATTTATTGTTCACTCCTTTCATCAATTGGGTAAGGTAAGGTTTGGCACCTGAAGAAAATCAACCATCTTGAGAATCTAATAAAATTAAGTTTTGTTGACAATGTTACACAGCCCCACCAAATTTCGCTAAGAGGGGCTTACTCCAACATACCCACACAATTTTTTTTTTAAAAATGTAAGACATGACACGTGGGGTACACATGCAAAACATATAATTTTATATATTTATTATCTATCATATATAAAGATAAATCATTATTATATGCTTATATATAAATATTTAAGTCTAATATAGTAATTTTAAAGTTTAAAGGAGTAGAATACATATAAATTTACCTTATTTTAGTTTTCTCATTGGATTCCAAGTTACTTTATTAAACTTGTAATGTGTTTCATATGTGTGCAAGTGTTGGAAGTGTCCAACAAGTGTTATGTCATTTGTTGCATCGATGTCCAATGTCACAACACATTACTTTCTTAGAAGTGTCTGTGCTTTTTAGAAATTTAGGACTCTAGGTTAGTGTGCACTGACGTGATGTCAATTTTAGGCTGAACACATGTAAGCCATGCTAATACCCCGGTTTGATGCCGAAAAGACAGCAATATGAATGGATTGCACCTCCAGTATTTCAACGGCACATACTTTTACGTTCATTCTTACACTTTTTTTGGGAAGCAACATTCATTGTCTCATACCTTCTATCTGGTGAAACTCTGCAAGGTGAGTTCGATCCACAGCTTCATTTCTGAATACACGATCTATAGAAAAGTACTTTTTGGGAGCAAAACCTTCCTGGGAATAACAGTCCCTCAATTAATATTAAGAAATGACAGTAATTTACAAAAACCTCAAAAAGAGAAGAAAAGTAAAAAGAAGAAGAGAAGCTCCCAAATTGATACTATGTTGGGTAAAACAAAACCCATAGCCATAAGAACTAGCAAACATGTGAAGGAAAAGGATTCATACACATTTAGACTTCCGTTATCTGCCAACATGCACATCATACTTCACAGAGCATAATTCATCCAAATTTTATTTTTCAGAACTTCCTTGAAAAAAGGCCACGGGTGAACAGCAGAGATAACCATCCTTTTTGTGCATTTACTATTTATAAAGAGCTAAGCCAATAAAAACATCATATCATTTTCCACAAGTAAGAAGTGATTTAAACCCCTCAAGAGTTCAGTGATATTACAATAAGTATTTTGATGGGCATGTATGGCATGTTGAGCTAAGAAGCATGGACACTTCTAG